GGGGGGAAGGGGAATGAATGTACAAATTAGAATACATATGCATGATTTGCATAGCACCTGAAGATTTCCAACCAAAAGCCAGCCACTGTAAGAATGCATTATCAAAGCAATTTACAAAAAATTTGAAAATGAAAGCTGAATTCCCCAAAGAGACAACTTCCCCTTTTGATTTCTTAGCAAAATGACAAATAATGAAATAAGCATCATTTAAAATTGGGAAGGCAACAAAATGACAACAGTAAGACCAAGGAAGCCTCATAGCTCAGAGAAACAATCAGTAACATTAAGCAATGCTCAAGCTCTCTCATTAAAGTTGGACTGATCAACTTAAGGACTGTAATATATCCAAGTAGAAGGGCATTGCCACATTTAGTATCCACGTTTCTTATAATACTTGGCTCGTGCAACTACATCATTGGCATAATCATTGTGGGTTGTGCCAATATCCATTCCTGCATAGGTCTGGACATTTCTAGGTCCTGCATTGTAGGCAGAAATCCCACCTGAAAAAAAGCATCAGAAGTGTAAACATAGAAAACTAAACATTCTCTCCTAGTTTGTAAGAGCTTTTGGAAATGTCTAAATTGCTCTCTTACTTTGTATCTTATTAGATTGAGGTTCTGTGAATAGAATGTATAAAATCCTAAATTCACTCAAAAATCAGGATTAATGGTTTTACATTCACAGATACCAGTAGCTGTGTGAAAATATAGCATGCAGTTGGCTAACCATTTACAAACAGGAGCCATTTACAAACAGGTGAATGTTAAAATTCTTAAAAATAAGTTTGTAAATAACCATTTACAAACAGGTGAATGTTAAAACATGAGCATGGACTTCATTCTCCTCTTCTCTCTCAATCTCTGTGCCAGCATGCTTCAGTGTAGCATAGACACCTGAGCTATCTGTAAATGAACTAACCTAGATATTAGAATCAGTCTAGATCTAGCAGTACAAAGCTCACCACTGGAGACTAATTTTCTCTATTCCATCTTTCATGTTAACCTGCACAATCTTGTAATTCTCTTGAGATCTATCTATAGTTCTCAAAAAGACTGTACGTCTACAGAGATTCAGAATGACATGCTGGCACTGTTTCAATAAATACCAGACTTCTTCCTACCTTCAATGGCTTCAGGATAGTTCTCATGGCCGCTTCTACATGAGATGCTGACCATGCAATCATTTAGTAGTTGTATGAACAAGTACTAAATGCCTGCACAGTAACCAGAGCTACTGTGATGTAGCATCACCAGATGGCTTTCTTGTGATGCTGACCATGCAGTAGCTCATTACTACTGCACAGTAGAGTTGCATCATGTTTCCTACCATACGACACTACTGCACAGTTGTCACAGGCTACTGTGGAGTCAGCATCTCACGTAGACACAGCCATGGCCAAATAGTTGAGGCCCAGATAACAACATAAAGGGTGGATCTAGACATTCATTAATACACTTTAGGTAATGCACATTAAATTAGTGAAGTACTAGAAAAAGACACACAAGTCTATTTTCATGCACATTAGTTAAAGAGCACAGTTTTTTTGTGATGTTTCAATGCATATTAAAATAGGTTAATGAACATTAAAGCACATGTGTATACAGGATTTCTTTTTGGATTTAACTATTCCCCTGCAGTGTTGAAAACTCAGACCCAATACTGTGCTAAAGAAAGGGAAAACCAATGTGAAACAGATGTATTTAGTTTCACTATCCAAGCTCTGGGAAATCAGGAAGCAGAAAAATTGTATCAATGGTGAAAATTATGAGAGATTCTTGCAGAAGTTCAGTAACACAAGATATTTAATAGGATATGTGTCTTAGGATTTCCCTTGTCTCATAGCCTGAATATATTCCATACTTTACCTTTCAGCTGTTGTTCTTTAGTCCACCTTGGGAACTTTTTCTGGATTTCTTTAATCATACCCACAAGGATTTGCGTGCCCTGGATAAGATGAGCCTCAGAGTTCCATGCCCCAACGATTTTATGATACCTCTTATCAACCTAGAAGAAACCAAGGGAACATTACTCCTCTAGGGTAAAAGATGATGAACTAAACCTTGTATGCAACCAAGTACCTATGTAACGTTGTAACTACAATTTTGGCCTTTACATGCAGTTTTCATTCTATGTAACTATGCACTCCCCTGCATTTCCCTTCTGAATAGGCTCATTAGGCTTCATTATGTTTATATACGTGCCTGTAGGAAACAAAAATGCCTGGCACCTATATATAATGTCTATTCAGTACAAAGCTTTCATGAGAGAAAAACTATGACTAGAGGGTCCTGCCACCTAAGAGCCTGCTAGGTTCTAGGCTGTTGGTCACCTAGAGGGAATTTGAAGCTATATGTTTCTGTTTCTTAGTAACATGTTTTAATCACCAGGCCATGGGCCAGGCATTGCTGACCACTC